GGTATTTATGTCTAGCTTAATTAAATGTTTGTCATAAATGATTCTTTGGGAACTGAATTTTGAGGATGTGGTAGAAAAATTATTTGTAATTAAGTGATTTTTGTTGATTTATTTTTAATAAATGGGAATGGTGTTAATTTAAGGGCTACTACATCCGTTTGTGTTTGATAATAGGTATAAACAAATATATGTATAATATACATACATTATATATTATATAAATTCGTTTAATGAATTATTTCTTGATAAAATCTTTCACAAATTTTATACTGACCAATACATATTTCTGTAAATTAAAAAATTTGTGTCGTGAATAACGGGTTCCGGAGATTGCCACGAACTGATGATGCCCCGACATTCATTTACTCCGACACTGTAAAAAAATCCTCCGAATACATTTACTCCGACAACAATTACTACGAATACCTGGTTATCAAATTTTAATGTTACTTCGACGACGAATACTCCGAATATTGATTGCTCCGAATGAAATTAGCTCCGAATATCGATTATTCGCGAAATCGATTAAAAAATTATCAAATTTCGGAGTAGATGAATATCGTAGCAATATATTATCTGATGGAAAAATATAACCCTTATCACTAATTAATAAATATTAATTAATATAATAAAATAGCGTTATAATTGATTAATGTCTATTAACGAATAATTATTACAATAAAGATCCCCGAAATGTATCCGACTTTTGATAAAATAGGTACATAAAGGTAACATAACTGGTGTGAGCCCTTAAATTTTTTTTTGGAGGGGAAAGAAGAGCGATTCCAATTTTCAGACGTAAAATCTTTTTTACCTCTCCTTAATAGTGCTTATTATAACATTGTAAGCACATTAATATTATAACATTCAATTAGTTTAGTTAAAAAATATAGAGGTACGTTTTTATGATGATAGTATTCGTTATTAAACAGATGCGTTTATAAAGATATTCGGTATCCCATTCTCTAAAACTGTCATTACAATTAGTTTCATATGAAATCAAACAAAAATATGATTTAATATCATTTCATTGTTCAAAGGTGGGTAACGAAATTAATTCAGTCCAGTTTGGATTTGACCGCAATCTGGAGAGACTTGAGGGGGCTTTGTCTCCTAAAATTCTGCCATAGACTATACCGAAAATGAATTAATTTGTATTTCTTGTTGTATAGAAATATTTTTTTAGATTAGGTAAAAAATTATGTAATTAGAGTTCCCAAATATTTTGTTGCAATACTCCTACGCTCTAGTCAAATTAAGTAAACACAAGGCAGTTATAAGTTAACAGTGGACAATAGTTTATGATTTATCATAAACTTACAAAAATCTTCTGCTAAGTAAATTGGTTTTAAACTTAACTAACTCGATTAAAAATATGCAGTCAATTCATTAAATAATGGTTCAGTTTTTTTTCATTTGCATTATGATTATTTGAAGTTTTGTCAAATATACGTATAGAGTGAAATATTTTAATTTATAATCATGATTGATAATCAAACAATTATTCATTTTTTCTCATTAAATGGAAATCAAATATAATAATGTAATATTGAAACTGTACAACTTTTTTTATAAGAAATATATATATATATATATATAATTACATTTTTACAAAACATAATACATTACATTACGTGATTTTATTTTGAAAATTAATTTTTATTTTTTTTGGAATATGCTTTCATATTCTAAAAAGTACATATAAAATTAATTCAAATTTTTAAAAAAACTTCATTTTGTATTTATAAAACAATACATTTGTATTTGCAGGATACGCGTTAAGCTAACGAGATGAAAACATTGGCAAAATAATCATCTTTTCGCAGTGTCGGCCTGGCTCAGAAGGCCCTCATTAAATTTAAGATTTTTTTTCTCACTGGACCACTGAGAAAATTGTCCAACAAATTTAATTATTATTAAAAAAAGGAAAGGCTATTCAGATATTTTTTTCAAGGAAATATTAAACTGATTTCAATAAATGTATATTAGATTTTAAACAAAAAGAACTTTAAATAAATAATTTTTTACTCCTTAATATTTTTAACTTTTTTTTGAGCACCACTGGAGATTATAATGGTTTTACTTATAATTTAACATTGATTATAAAACTCATGTCACAAAATTAAATTTTTTTAACGATGAGTTAATATATTTTTAATTTTAGATGACACACAGAATTTTTAAATAAGAAAAAATTAATTCTACTTATATATAACCAAAACTTACTAATTCTTAGCATAACTCATATTAGACTTGTAGCAAAACTTACACAGTTTAATACTATTTTAATTTTTTTTAATATAAGTTAAAAATAATTTTAGTAATTAATTTTCAATTAAAATTGCTGAAAGAAAAATTAATCATACTCTTCTGAGTCTATAAAAACCTATTGGAAGAAACTTCCAGAAAGTAATAAGACTAAAAAAAATGTGTTCAACAATTACTGCATTGAAGTTGGATATACTGTGTTATTTTATACTTAGATATCCTAATGCAGCACAGGAAAAAATCCAGACATCCCCAAGAATGATTTTATATTGTACAAACAATTTTATGTGTTATATTAGTTATTATTTTTTAATATTACACACTTAGGAATTAATCACTAATAAAATTGCACAAGACAATTTTTACAGCACATATTTGTTATAGAAAAATTAGTTTTCAAATGGATCTTATAGATGTTAAAAAATAAGTTACTGTTAGATAAAATTTTGTGGATCGACTGAAAAAACAGTTAACTAACAGTTTTTTGATTTGATGAAAATATTTTGTAATTATTGGATAATTAAAAAATAAAATTCTCAAAGATAAATATATATTCTAACAATAGAGAAAACTTTTTCAAAAATGTACATTTGTATTAAACACTATTAATTTTATGTTACTTAATGAATGACTATTATCATTCGAGTATTAATAACATATGTCAAATGTGAGAAATTGTACCAGAAAATAATAAGCAAAATGTATATTATTGTATTATAACTATAGTAGCAAATAAATGCTAATTGAATAGAACATTTTAATTTAAATTTTACAATATTATTAAAAATAATATAATTAATTTAATAATGTAGTGTTTCTGTAGCCACGTGACCCTGACGTTGCAACATATACGATCAATTCGCCCTATTACTAACAATGCAATCGAAATATAATATAACTTTCGATGCATAATCAAACTATCGATAATGTCGGAGTTATTACCACATTTTATTTTTTATTAAATGTCGGAGTAAAATCCGTCGTGGTTATGGTTACCTATGGTATCAGATAGTCGGAGTACCAGATGTTCGTAATAATTACTACTTTGTCAAATGTCGAAGTATGTAAATGTCGGAGCATCATCAGTTCGTGGCAAAGGTGGGATCCCGTGAATAACAACACTACATGAAAAGATATAAAGTACTTTTATTTTTATTCTTGAACAAAAAGAATCGATTTAAAATTGGCTAAAATATAGATAATTAATTCCCCAATAATTTTAATTACATCAAATGTTGAAACTTAACTAAATACCAACTGTATACAAATTACTAGATATTAATATTATGGATTTCACATATCACAGTAAACTATATAAAATGATCTTTAAAATTAATTTTTTCATATTTGTGAATAAATTATTAATTACAAATGTGATACCCGTAACACTTTAACATTTATAAAGCGGTATCATTCGAGAGAATTTCATATTATAATATTTTATTTTATATATATATTAATTTTTTTTTATGTTATGTGCGCTTTATTGACGAAAATAATATGTAACACAAAGCATACAGACAGTAGTAGAATGTCGTGCCACTCCAATATAATATTAGGCGACCATACAGGTGTGCGCATATTATCTGTATTGATGGACAGGGGATGATTTAAGAGTTCAACTGTAAAACATCTAAAAGTTCATTCTCTTGGCCATATCGTTGTTTTGTTTGTCCGTTTAGTTAGCTGTTTATTTTGTGATGTTACTTTAAACTTAACGAAGTTTAAAAAGGTATATTAGCTAAAAAATGTGGTAACTTGCCCTAACTTACTAACAGTAAAGCTCTCTGTTCGTTTATATTCCTAATAAAATATGCCACCAAGTAAGTGTGCATAGAAATTATAAAAATTAAATGTTTTTTTAAAAAATGGATGTAATTATAAAAAAAAAATCCCTGCGGATAGGGGATAAGAATACTTCCACGGCCCCTCTGCCAGTCGTAAGAGGCGACTAATGAGGTTGCGTCAGGTCGACAGCCGGCGTAAAAATTTTGTCAAATAGTATGAGGTGTTCTTAACAAAACTTAGGCGAATTGTCCTATCTCGGATGTACGCAGGGACAACAGGTGAAAGGGAATAAAGTAGTTAACAACGGAGAAGACCTAAGGAATAAAGTGTTTGATACCAGCCGGACAACTTGTGCGATAGCTGTTTCACCAGTCATGTATAAAGGTCTACCCAACGCTAGTAGTGTCAACGGTGTAGGGACATCACCATTTAACTCTAGGCTGGACTTGTGTATAAGGGAGAAAGATACATACAAACCCCAGGTAGTTGGAATTAAGGCGAGGAAGAAGAGGATGTAATTATAAAAAAAAACTACCTTAAAGATTTAAATTTAAAACTGATATTAAATTTGGATTCAGCGATCTCAAAAACATTTAAACCAACCTAATGTTACCGAATATAATTATGAAGATATGAATTTGGACCACTATACATTATTTCCGAAGTACATATTTTTTGTGACTTAATAAGTTAATTATTTTTAATATTTTTTAGTTTCAAATTAATAATTTTAATTTTAAATATAATTATAATTATATTTTACTAATCTGATGATTGAAGCCAAGATACTGTGCTAGTCTTGAAGAACTAATAGGTCAATAAAATGCACATCTATTTATATTTAAGTACAAGTTTTTTTAAATGGTAGAAATCTAAAATTTTTTAATTCACTAATATTTTGAGATTACATTTGTATTGTTATACAAGATAGAATTAATACTAAATTAATTAATTAATAACAATTTATTTAACAACTTGATTACAAGTAAATTTTTTTATTCAGTCACATATCAATATTTTAGCGTGCATTGACTAGCTGTTCCTAAATTAATTGTGTAATAATAATAGTATATAAATAATACACATGATACAACTGTAATATTTTAGTGGTTAACTTATAACAAACAGGATAAGCTAATTAAAAAAAAAGTCAATTTTGCTATTACTATAAGGTTATTATAACAAATTATACAGGTTAATAAGAAACATTAAATTAATATTTTTAAGCTCGTTTGATTGCATACACATTAGACATTTTTTGAATTGAATATTTATAAAAAATATAAAACTCAAAATTTAATTAAATATGGTGCATTAAAAATCATTTGAAATAAAAAAATTAATAATAATAATTAATACTTTAAAATAACAACAATATAATAAAAATGCAACTTTGAGAGTAATTATAGTAAAATTTTTATGTAAAAAACAAATAAAATTCAAACAAAACAAGCTTTGGACTATTAATATGTTACATTTAGGAAATATGGTGGTACAATTCTGTCACAATAAAGAGCATGAATAGCTTTAAGATTATGATTCGTTTTGAAAATAAAATATTAAATGAATTTCAATGACCAAATATAAAAGATGTACTCCATTAATTTTGGTTAAAGATATATTAAAGTGAGAAGACAGAATTGCTAAATACAGCTGATGCCAAGCTTGTGTTAATTCGTTGTCAGTTCATTATTAATGGTTGATCATAGCGAGGACGCATAGCTGCCTCAGGACCAACACTCATTGCAACACTTGTCAAAGGATTCATGTGAAAACCATTATCAATTGTCATTGTGGTGTTTGTGGAAACTGTTAGAGGACCTGCATAAATTAAAGTAAACTATAATATCTACATTTATGTTAATAATTAAAAGTTTTACAAATATTAATTTTTAATATAAAATTTAAATCATAATATTATATATTACATATAAATATATTCTCAATAATATACAAGTAAAAATAACTTTACATGTTGATTTCTGAAGTCAAAACATGTAATAATAAATGTGTGTAAAAATATATTATTTTACAATCATAATACATTAATAAAGAAATCAATATTGTAAAAAAGTTTAAAATTTTAACAATATTAATATCCATCAACATTGTATAAATATGATCAATATTGTTGATGAACCTTACTAAATAATAATTTCTGTTGTACTTTCTGCCCTTATATACAATACAGGTAAAAAGTTTGAATACACTTAAGAGAAAATTTTCATTTTAGAGATTATTCATTTATCTTACCAAAATTTATTACTTCAATAAACTAAATAGATTATTATTTAAATGTTTTTTTGAGTATCTTTCATGTACTTTTCAATATTTTGAAATGCAAAAATTAGGAAAATATTACTTAAGCCAAATAGTTTGAAAATTATCACTTTTACTTAAGTTCAGGAATAATTTTTGGAACTCTCAAGGCAAGAAATGATACCAACAAGTATTTTGATCTCGCAAATTATCAAATGTGAACCAAAAAAAATTTTTACCAGTGCCCTTTTATAACTTTTAATAGTTTTTTCCAAAGAGAAACTTGGGAAACTTCTTCCTCATACTGTCTCTAAAAAGTAAAATATACCAAGATTTTTTTTTCAAATATGATGTTCATCAAATTATTCTTAAAATTTAAATTATTAAAATTAAATGGATTATTTACCTTATTTTAGTGTACAGGTACTTTTAAAATAATTATACTTTGTATTGAAATGGTACACAATTTTCAAAATAGTTAATTTTACAATTTTTTTTTAATGTACCGTATAGTAGTCAAAACTAAAGTTTTAAGGTTGTTGGGTGATTTTATTGCAATACAAAGTACAATTCAAAGTCAAAAATTTAGATTTTTTTTTATATTTTATTTGATTAAATGTTTATTTATTCCCATAAGTACACTTTAATAATAACATATTATTAAATTATTATTTTATAAAACATATTATTATTTTCATTTTAAGCAATTTACATAAAGTAATTTTTTTTATATTTTAATTTCAATGATGCCTTTAAATATTGAAATTACATTACAAACAATTTAACCTTTTCTCATATTTATTCAAATTTTTGGCCAGTACTGTTAACATGGGTCTAAAAATTGTTATAGATTAGTAATTTTCTTATGGATTTTACTAATATGAAGCTTACATGTAGTAAATAAAATAAAATTATGTTTGCAATCTTTGATAACAATTATACTAAAAATACCTTCTCAGATTCGCATCGAAGCTAAAATACAAAAGAATAGCCATATTTTTTAAGATTTTAATAATTATAAATTTTAGAAAAACCAGATAAGTCACCTAAATCAGAATAAAAAATTTTTTATGTTAAATGTTCTTTGATGTATTATAATATGCCAATTTTTTTGGTTTTATAACTTCAGAATGTTGTCAAGTATCCTATTAATGGTTAATGTGCTACAAAATGGTAATATCAGAGCGATTATGTACATTAATTTTATTGTATTACATTTTATAAGATATGTTGAAAAAAAACGGTAGCACAGTGGGATGGTGGCACAGTGGGGTCGTGGCATAGTTGGGTCCAGTATAGATGATATCTGACAGTGATTAAAATCACTATCATAAAAAACGCTTCGATGCAAAACTGTAGATAGTGTTTAATTTAAAAAAAAAAAATTTGTTAAAATAGCATATTTTTGAATACGGTAGCCATTTGCGCATAGAAGATTTTTTTTATTTTATAGTATATAAAATAAGCTTTAATTTGATATATGCTTTAAGGACGCAGTATTTCCGGAACATTTTCAAAAATTAAGTTGAAAAAGTTATTTTTTGTAAAAAAGTTACTATTTTAAATCCTCCCAGTGAGCAGAATAAGTGTTAGATTTTCAAAAAAAATTATATCAAATGAAAGGGAAATATCTAAGGTTTCAATACAAAAAAATATTATTTTTATTTGTTCATTTTTGAAAAAGTTATGGCAGTTTTAAGTACAAAAAACATCCCGATAAAAGATGATTTTTATCGCAAACATTACATTTTTTTTTAATTTTCGACAGCCATTTACACATAGAAGTTAAGATGTCGGGACAAATTTTTTTTTTCATTTGATAGTATATAACATAACCTTTGATTTGATATATGTTTAAAGGACGCAGGTATTTCCGGAACATTTTCAAAATTAAGTTGAAAAAGTTATTTTTTGTAAAAAAGTTACTATTTTAAATCCTCCCAGTGAGCAGAATAAGTGTTAGATTTTCAAAAAAAATTATATCAAATGAAAGGGAAATATCTAAGGTTTCAATACAAAAAAATATTATTTTTATTTGTTCATTTTTGAAAAAGTTATGGCAGTTTTAAGTACAAAAAACATCCCGATAAAATGTAATTTTTATCGCAAACATTACATTTTTTTTTAAATTTTCGACAGCCATTTGCACATAGAAGATAAGATGTCGGGACAAATTTTTTTTTTTCATTTGATAGTATATAACATAACCTTTGATTTGATATATGTTTAAAGGACGCAGTATTTCCGGAACATTTTCAAAAATTAAGTTGAAAAAGTTAGTTTTTGTAAAAAAGTTGCTATTTTAAATCCCCTCCCATGAGCAGGTTAAGTGTTAGATTTTTAACAAAATGATATCAAACGAAAGAGAAATATCTAAGGTTTTAGTATAAAAAAAAATTATGTTGATTTGTTGATTTTTCAAAAAGTNGAAAAAAAAATTATGTTGATTTGTCGATTTTTCAAAAAGTTATGGAAGTTTTAAGAAAAAAAAGTGAAAAAAATGACAAAATTTACCAATTTTTAAATTTGTAATTTTTTTGGATATTTCCCCCATTTGCGGGGAACGAGGGAATTTTTTTCAATTTTTAAGGGTAATGTCTTCAACTAGATAC